AATGATGTGGTGGTATTTATGCCAACCATCCTCCACAAATTCAGTGGTTTTCACTGTCTGTTTTTCTGAAGTCCCTTCTTCACCTGGGTTGGGAAAAAAAAAAAAAAGGCACTTAACATCTGGAAAAATTAAAGCTTTGGAAGTTTGCCGGTCTGATTGCCATGGTGTTGTTACAGAGTTTTTGTTCCTTATGATTCTCCCATGCAGCCCAAATATTAATTGCCAGAGATCAAATCTCAGCGCAAGTGGTTCAGTTGTTTTCCATCATTTTGACTTGCCCATATGGAACATTCCCAAAATGTCAAGAGTCATTAATAAGTTCTGAAAATCTCAGAACTTAGCATTTCCGTATCAGAAGTGATTTTCAGTGATCCTACAGGTTTCATCCTTTAACAAATGCCGTCACTGAGGTATTTCAGCTGGTGTCAGCAATGCCACAGATACTAGGTGTAAGAACAGTAGCAGTGAAAATATATAAGGAGGGGGCGAGGGGGGGAGAAACAGAACTGAAGTGCTCTTGAAAAAGGAAGTTGGATTAATTTTCCCACTGGATTTTTCTTGTTTACACTTAGCTTGAAATCTTGGAAGGAAACGTAATGAAATTATTACTTGGTTATTTTACTTTGAAAAATAACCATATCCACTGGGAAAATAGGGAAACCATAAAAATATAAACAAGTTATTTTCAAGTGAGTCGCTCATTCTCCTACCAGAGTGCCATCTCTCCCTGCTCTCTTCGCAGCATTTCATTCTCACCATCTCCAGCCACCATTTCACCCCCCTCCGCACTTTGCATTATTAATTTTGGTCCCAATATCATTCTCCTCCACCCTCTAAAGTCTGCTTGAGAAGCTGGTTGTCACTTCTTCATGGACACAGGCATTTAGGGTAAGCCGTTGCTGTGTGGAACGGGCAGGCTTTCCCTGCTGATGAGCATGTGGCCACTCACGCCCAGGACACTCGATTCACACAGGTGAGCCCAACCCTGCAGGAGCCTCTGTGCCCTCACAGTCTCGCGACACTGGAGAATTCTCACAAATGTTTCTGTATCGCAGTGGTTGAGTAGGATGAACTGCATTTTTGGTGCAACGTGATTGTCATTCTCTTCCCTTTATTCAGACTTAAGAGGGGTTTTGTCACTTTTGTTTTCTAAAATCAGACATTTTGAATTATCCAGACTTTTTTTATGTAACTATAAAATCTTACTGTAATACGTGCTTTCTGAGTATGGACTACCCAATATAGTAAACCTGTCAGTCTGTGTCTTTCTCGTTACAACCGAACATCCCCAGGACAGTTCTGAGGATCTGTAGCATTTAATATACATACATAGCCATCGCTGAATTTCCTCATTTAAAATCTTGGATGACCAATTCTCGGACTTGAACACATTTCTTCTGCTTTTGATCACCCAACATCAAATTACAAGCTATAATAAAAATTCTAGACATTTTGCAACCTACTCGTCACTGGATTCAGGTGGTTTCCTGATTTTTCAAGAAGGGGGAAGGGAGGCAGCCTGTTGGATGCAAAGTGAACACTGACCTGCACTGACCCCTTCTGGAAAGCACCAAAAATGTACCATTGGAAACAAACCTGTACTGGTCTGGGGGGTGCGTGTGGGAACTATGTGACCTAATAGCTTTTTCCATCTCGATTTCTATGACTTTTAATCATGTTTGGTTGGAACAGCCTCAGGCTTCCTAAGTTGTTTGCACGGGTAAGGCTCTGGAGCAGATATACATGTCATCCATTAGCATCCAATGGACCAGAAAAGGCCCAAAGGACCAGAGAAGTTTCTTTGTAGTTGGAAGCAGAAAAATAGTAATACATTATAGGAAATAAGAAAAATAGCAAAACATATTCCATTTTTCAGACAAGAACAGAACACAGAAGGCAAATCAGTATGAAAAGAAAAATGGAACCTTAGAGAACATCTACAATGTCTCATCCCAAAGCAGTTCAAACAAGGGAATACCATTTCTTTGAGAACAGTCCCATAAAATGTCTAGAGGCCATAAGCAATTAGGACATAAGTCTCTCATGTAAAACACGATACCCCCTTGCTCCTGACCAGGCCAATACTTGGGAACGCAGATTTAGTTTTAATTCAAAAGGAAAAGGAGCCATCCTTCAATGGCCAGTCACATTCCGTTCCAGTCCTCGGAAACGTCCAGTTCTGTCTAAACTGGACGACCCTCCGCAGTGCTGACAAATCACAGACCATGGCTGAACTGACTTACAGAAAGAAAATCACTTTCTTTCCTCTTTCTTGTACACTGACATAGTCTTCAGGGCTATTTTTCTTTCCCCGCAATACAAGTGCTTGATGAAATAAACACATCCAAAAATTATCTGCAAGAAATCAGAAATATGTCTAATTTCCAAACTTGGAAAGAGATGATGGGCTTCAACTCAAATTGGCGCATGCTTTGTTTGTCTCCTTGGGACTCGATGATCTGCATTGCTAACAGTTGTAGAAAATACTCAGAAGACAAAGAAAACATCTTGGGAGAAGAGACAATTTGCTCAACTTGGAGACTGCAGGTTTTTAAGAAAGCAACTATTTTCCTCCTTTGCATTAGATTATGTATCACTTAAATTCTTTTAGAGACGGCATTTGTTTGTAGGTGAGGCGAGCAGGTGGAGTACTCATTGTATCTGAACTATCACCATGTTCCTGGCCTCTTTCTGTCCAACCAAAAGCCACAGTGCTGCTTAAGTATCTTCATGAAAAGTCCTATGACATGAAGAACTTGAACTGCCCCTAACCCTCTATCTACGTATCTTTACCGTGGTGAGCCAGCACTGTTCTTACCAACTGTTGGTTTCTATCCCATGAAGAGAGTCACCTCTTCAGTTTTCCCCGTCACAAGAGGCGAGGAAGCCAACAGAAGAAATTGCATTTAATTTAAGACCTTGAATAAACTCTGCTGTCAGGTTGTTGCAACCAAACTCCTTCCACTAGGATAAAACTCTCTATATAAAGAGAAAAAAAAGAAAAAACAACTCTTACAAATGTGATATCACTACACCATTGTGCCTAGCAATGTTCCTTCTCCTCATAAGGAAGTTATCCCTCGACTGGATGGCAGTAAATATTTTGTTTGGCTCTTACGTTTAAGCTTTTGGACAAGCTAAAGATCACCCTGCTTCTAGAAATCATGATATAGCATAAAGTGGCGAGAAAGGAAGCGGTCTCTTCCAGCAAGCGTTCTTATTCAATTTGTTCTCTGAATAACTGGGATGGCCCTTTTTTCATTGCTTGGCATAGAGCGCAAGAGTTTGGCCAGAAGCCCTGCCTTCATTCCCACTTCTTCGGAAAGTCCCAGAGTTGAGTGTTTAGATCTGCCACAGAAACAGATTTGCATTCATTTTCTGGTCTGGTTGCCTGTTCTACAGGCTAATGGGATGATGATACTACGTGAAAAACCTGTCCAGTTTTATCCAGGACTACATGAACAAGTAAAAAGCCTAGGCCCACTGTCCCAGAGGGGCAAACATTTTCAAACCATACTGTAAGAAGAAGCAAGCGTAACAAACACGAGAAAGGAGGTGGAAGACATCCTGACACAGGAAGATCACATTTTATTTTACATTGCATTTTACATTTATGTCACAATTTATATTTTATACCACAGTTTAGCTAGAAACTCAAAAAAAAATACAGAATGTCTTGCATGAACACTGTTAACCGTGACAGAACAGAACCGCATGAATATCCATGAATGCATGTGACTCCTAAGGGATTTTATTTCACTCCGTTAGTTTTGCTTCCTGGATTCTTTAAAGACTTAAGATGACAAAGAGAAAGCAAAGAAGCACTTGGGAAAATCCCATGAACAACCATTGCTATCAAATATAGTTGAACTCAAGTACACTTTTCAAGATACAGCATTACCATCTAAAGCGAATGGTTTGTTGGTATCTGAAGTCCCAGTTATCCGATGCACCCCCCTCAACTTGCACCTCTAGGCTACCTTCCACCAAAGACAGGCAGAAGAAGCTAAGAGATGAGGTGTGCTAAGAAAGATGATGGGAAAAATGATCTCTCAGCAGCCTACAAGCCACTTGAGACCTGCCAAAGGCAAGTGATACTAAAACAAAAATAGAAGGCATGTAAATGGGACTGACTGGTTACAAGAGTAAGATTACAGCCTGGCAACAGGCTGCTTCAAATCTTCACCTGCCGAATTAGACAAGCCAGTGCAGGAACATCCACTGACCTCAGCATCCCTGGCAGATACACGAAATGGGCAGATTTGAAACAAGCCCCTTCCCTGCACCCCACAGCTGGCCTGAAACACCCCGATGCAGGAGTCACCCCGGAGCCCATACAAATAGCGGAGCCTCTCCACCACATAGTTCAAGCTAAATCGCCCCTTGGTCTCTCACTGGAGAGCCAGGAGAGACTCGGGAGCTGTGGCAGGAGTATAGCTCAGGCCTCCATAACATCAAACCAGCACTACCTCTAGATTCACCTCCATCCCAAGCTGACACAAGCTCAAAAAAACCCAAGAACCAAACGAAGAAAAAAAAAAAAAACAAAACCAAACCCAACAACAAACCTTAGAACAAACGAAAAAATAAGGAAAACCACCCTAGAGGGGAATGTGCTGGGCTGGGGAATACCAGCCCCCTGCCTCCTCCTTCCCCTCAGGGACTTGGATTTAGGCAAAGTAAAATTATATTTCATCGCGACCAATTTTGTCTGTTGTTGTTGTTGTTTATGCAGAAATACAAATGTAAACTTGAGCAGCAGTTTGCCCAGATCAAGGAAGAAAGTACAGCTCAGCTGCTGACAATTCAGCGTTGGGAAGATTGGTGGAAACGATCCATCCAGAAGATTAAGCAACTCTATACATGAGATCAATCAAATCTTGCTGATGTCCTTCTGATCATTGTTGGTGTAAACTGACAAGTTTGTACTAACGTCAGTGATGTTATAGATTTAGTCCAACAGGATTTTTTTTTTTTTTTTTTTTTTATTTCTGTTGCAGTTGTGGAGGTGACCGAAGGCAACACGACCACAGTAAGTCCCTGCACCCCTTTTGCTCAGTAGCTGCCCTTGCCGTCGCTTCTCCCTCTTGCAGCCGCCCCTTGTGTGTGTCCCTGTCTGTCTGTCTCTCATCGTCCCCTCCCCGCCCAAATTGGGGGAAGAAAAAAATCAAAAGGGTCGCTTTTGTGCCTGAAAGACATCCCAGGGTGTGAAGGCAAAACCAAGGCAGGAGTGTGTTGTGAGTGCGGGTAAGCCGGATGGAGGGTTTGGCAGCCAAATGCTGGAATCGTCACCCTGTTGCTGGTGATAATAGCGATGGTGCTATGGTCAGAGCCATCCGTGACCGCCAAACCCTTCACCGTACCCCTGGTATAAAGTTGGAAGCCCTGACCAGAGGCATTCAGGACCCAAAATACAAGAGGCAGTTCTTAGGATGGGTTCGTTTCTTAAAGTAGTGACACTTGGCATCGTGTTGAGTGTGGGCAGGCCTGAAGGTTTGCCTTGTTGCTTTGGTACTTCACCCTGGGCCAGCAGCACGATGTGGCATCACAAGATGGTTCTGTGCTGTCTGTGTGCCACCCATATTACTTGCCTTTGATCTGTGTTGTGTTTTGTTAATCACTGTGTGTGACATAGTAACTGCAGGTGGTACAAAGCTTGCATCTTGTAACGTGTTTGATGAGAGAAGTATTTTCAGTGAAAGGCATATTGTCAAAAGAAGACCTTAAATACTAAAGGAAAACTGCTCCTGAAAATAAAACAAAAGTTCTGAACTAACTGATATAGAAGAGCATTTTCTCAGCTATAGCTTAAGAGAGGAAGGAAAAGACCAAAGCAATAGAATTAGAATTTTATTTAATTAACACCATCTGACCTGTTGCACTTAAAAGAATAATTTTTTAGAAGCGGCACTGAAATTACCGGGGATGGAGGGAAAAGATCGCATTATCCCACACACATTACATATGCCAGTAGCAATCTATGCTTTGGCTGGAAACGGGTAGAACAGATATTTTGAAATATGTAAATACAATGGGGAGAGTGGAGTGGGAATTATTTGGGAATAACTATAAGACAGTGCACTAAATGCTAATCTATATATACATAAATAATAAGGAGGGGACAGACTTTTTTCTTTGCTAATGAAACAGACAAAACCTAGTTGTTCATGCCTTTGAAAGTCTGAGTTTCCTTCTTGTTGTATTTGTATTAATCAACATTGTCATGTTTGAAAGCTGAATGGAGCAGGTTACCTATACTTCAGATATGTAATAACAAATAGAATATGGCAGTTAGCAAGACCTGTTAAGACTGTCAACAAAAATAAGTTTAAGGTGTGACAGTAGGTGAGATGGAAAGTCTCTTTTTCTTCTCTTGAAGTACCAGGCTTCTAATCTTTGTCTAGAGACCTGAAGAGAAGAGTTTGCAAGCATGTCCTGACAAAACAAGGGGGGAGTGTGCACACCAGCAGGGAACACACAGTGGATTGCTGTACTTTGGACTTAGTTTCCAAGGGGAATTAAATTATAATTGCAAAGTCCCAATACATTAACTGAGGCTCGAAGTAAAAAAGGTATGCATTGCAGTAACAGAGCCCTTTAGAAAAATAATTCTTCCTGGCCCATTGTAGAAGCATAAGGGAGATTTTGGGTATTTCTACTGTATAATATCCTAGCGTCAATCTAGGATCGGTCAGTGCCCTTAGATGAGGAAAATCTTGTAACAAATGGTGTAAATTGACCAACTAAAGGGCTGATACGTTTCTCGGCATATCCTCTGGTCACTCCATTTATCCTACCAACTGTACGTCAGTCTTTTCTGAACCCATCTTTCTATGCTGATCTTTCTACATGTCCTTGCTTTTCTCAGTATTGAAGGAAGTGTTTGACATGAATGAGCGGAATGAATCCCAGAGAAATCTGGATTTCATCAGCATACTGGAAATGCCGAGCCCCTGTATTGCCTTTTAGTTCTCTAACAGAAGACTAATAACTGAGTGGGTTAACACTATGAAGATCCTCGGTAGTTGGGGAGTAATTGCCAAAAACTGCACACTGAAATTTATTTCAAGAAAAATTGATACTGACATAGCATTCTGTATCTTTATTCATTTCCAAAATGGAATTACAGTCAAAGTACAGTCTGAAGCTAGACTAGCAAGAATCAAGACCAAATTACAGTCTTCCCAGAAAATAACTTTACCAATGAATAGAAAATTAGATACTAGCCTATATTTTATATTCATAGTTACTTTTTTGTAAAACTTGTGGGGGGAGGAATCTTACTTAAAAATTGACCTCGTATTTAGGTACCCAGATGCTTGAACTACAAATAACTTACCTGTTTCCATTTTGCCATCACTAGACAAGAAAAACACAAATCCGTGGCATAAAATAGTTCTGACCATTCAGCTGGATGCCATTGTCCCATGCGTGCTTACAGAAAATGTCATGCTTTTCTCTTCCCAGGTTTTCAGGCACAGAACCTGATGGTTCAGTCTAAACCAGTCAGCTTTTTTCTTAAAAAATAACATTGCATTCCTCCCAGGGTTTCTTTTTAAAGTCTCTGGTGTTTGTGCTATTTGAGGCTGTCAGTCGGTGTTCAAAATCTGGTTTTAATGTTCATTTCACCAGAGGAAACTTCCAAAATACTTTGGAGGAAAAAAAGGCTTAGTTTTACTGCCTTTTCTGTCCATTCAGCTGCAATTTGAGATAGCTTTTGCTTCTATTCATAAGTCCTCAAAAAAAGACAAGCGCACATGTAGATAGACTTCATATTCCTAACATATCTACATTTGGAAAACAAATTTCTAAAGTTTGTCCCACACACACACCTTCTACATCTCTTTGCATGTTACTTTTGAGAAGACTTGAGTGTTAGATGTCACCATTTTAGTGATATAGAAAAGATTATAAAATGATCTCCTAAAGGAATTGTTCAGGGAATTAAACTGGATAAAATATAAAATATTGGTGTATTTAAAAAAAAAAAAAGAGAGAAAGAAAGAAAACCACAAACCCACAGACATTTCCTAACAGTCCTTTCTTAACTTTAATATTTGCTCAGAATTTTCCCGTTTGGTGACTTACAATGTAATAAGCCCCTGCGCATTTTGGTCCACAGCATGCATCTGCTATTCTGTGACAGTCTCTTATTCCCAGATAAAAATGTGTTTTAGAGCTTTTCAATAAAAGGCCACTACAATTTTAAGGCATAGTGGTTCAAAGGAGTGCTGCAGTAAATTGAATTCAGGTGACTATGAGAACTTCGCACTGACTGTAAACTTGTTTACGTTTAGTAAAACATATACAAGAATTTACCAAATGTTTCTCTATGCTCCTTGGATTTGTTCTTTTCCCCATAGTCTGTGTATATCCAAAGTGGTTGATATATCTGTGTATAAGCCAGTTGAATAATGCAGATCCTGTTCCCCTTACATCTGCACAATACTGGTCGACGTGGACTTGATGAAAAGTATTCCTCAAGTCACAGATGCAGGTAGAGGTCTAAACTATGCCTGATCATTATATTCTTTCAATTGTTTCCTAGATTGAAGGGAGAATTATAGAGGATGCTGAAACACCAACTCCGCCAAACCCCTCTGGCCAGTGCCCCATCTGTCGCTGGAACCTGAAGCATAAGTATGATTATGTGGTAAGTTTAATAAAGGAGAGTTCCCCCATCCTCGCAGCTAGATAAATACTGCTCTCGGATCTATATACTGCACAACCTGACCCTCTCGTTCCCCCATCCTCGCAGCTAGATAAATATACTGCACAACCTGACCCTCTCATCTCTTGCTGGGTATAGTAAAGATAGTTAACTCTTTAGTTAACTCTCATAGGATGAGCTCATATCTAATAGGAGTTTTGAAATTATACATGTGGCCATCTGATCTGAGAAGGCCATACATATCTTTTCTGCCCAGCTGCCTTTCAGCATTGCACTTCCAGGAGAATCAACTGGAATGCAACATTTAGTCAATTGATTCAGGCCTGTTCTAACTCATTGGGTCATTGTCCACTAAGGTAGTAACTGTTTTATATAAAACTTTTAAAACTCTTGATGGGTATGAAGAGAGCATACGTGTTTACATCCCTTGCAACAGAAAAAACAGGTTTGATTCAAGCTTTTTGCAGGGAATTCTAATGAGAAGTTTATTAACTAATGAAACAATTACTAACACTAAATGTAGAAGATGGGAAGGAAATCCTGTAATGCTTTGAAACAAAAGCACAACAGTCAAGAACACTTTAGAATAAGAAGCGTGAGATAGAAGATGCAGAGTGCAATTTTACAAGAGGTAATTCAAACATAGAGTTTACAAAAGGACGAAGTGCCTGCCGTGCAAGCTAAAAACCCAGTACTGGAATTAGAAAAGAAGAAAACCAGACAAGAACATGCTGTTACTAAGATAAAGCAACAGAAAACTCAGAATCAGTTAATGTCAATAGGATTAGGGTGAGGGAGATACAAATGCATCTGGAGGAAAAGAAATCTTTGTGAGAAAGAAAGTTCATTAATGAGAGAAGGGGACTGAAAGCCACGTTGGCTGCAGAATGACTAAGCTGCTCCTAGTGCGCACACACAAAAGAAAAATTATAATATCTAGGTAATAATGGCAATCTTGCAAATGTAAAACAACAGGAAAAACCAGGTACAGAAGTAACTTAAGCATTGAATTAGGTACAGGCCAGTAGGCCTGGATTGCATGTAGTTACAACGGCTTAAGGGAATTAAACAAATATATTACTTCACTTGCAGGATTTTTTTTTTAAGTGTGGAAAAAAATCCTAAGGAATCACTAAGTGGTTTGAAAAGAGCAAGCAAAATGCTAAGTAGCTGAGAGAGGAAAGAGAATGATGCTGATTATTACCACTTGGTAAATCAAATGTGGCAAATTCCAAGTAAAATGGTATCAACTAGGATTAAAAGCAAATAACCTGTTGGGTAGGACTATTAATGAATCACGAATTATGAAGAACACAAGTACAGAAATAGTGCCACACAAAATACTTGCAAGTACTCCAGGCAGGTGAAACAATAGATGTGAGGTGTAAATGAAATATCAGTTTATTAGCTTTCAAAGCCTGTGTTGCAGAAATTAAATTGTCTAGGATCTGAGTGGTGCCAGTGATTCTGACTCAGGCTGGATGCAGTATTAAATAGTGAAGTAAGTCGGGGGAGGGAAGTATTTAGTGTTCTCTGGTCTGGTTTCTCAACAATCTGAGAAAGCTAAAAATACAATGAATTTGCAGATGATAATAAATGAGGAGAAATTTCAAATACTGTTAAGGTATGGAAAGTACTACAAAGACAGATCCCGTTTGTTTTGGTTTGTGTTGCCCATGTTTGAATGCAGTGATTTCTTGCAACTATTTTCTTCATCTTCATGTTTGCTGAATTGTGTTGTGATCAGAACAGACCAATCACTTACACTGGAAAATACTTTCTTAAGGTTAATAGAGTTTTATGTGACTTGTAAATGCGAAGAGTCAACATCATCGTTAAACTGGGTAGTTCTACAGATGTCCAAAAAGCATTCTGTGAGTCACACATTAACAGCTCCAGAGAAACTATAAACTGATGCTCAGGGATGAAATGAGCCATGGGAGTGGATTAAATCTTGGAAATTAATATGTAGACTCACTTTCTACTGTTGTCTGTGGTAGAATACTCTGTTGCATGGAGAGATAACAGTGCTATCAAGAACCAAAGAAGCAGTTTGACAATGTGATGCAGTCTGAGTTCCAGGATTAGAAGTAGGCTGTTGGTCCCAACAGACAATGTAAAGCGGGATTCGTAGGTGTGTTTGTAGAGTGAACTAAGATCGTGAGTTTTCTTGCACACTTCAGTTCAGTTTGATTCTTAGATCCTGATTTCTACTGTTCAGTATGGAGGCAAGAGAAAACCAAATGTGAGGAGAAATCCTGCAGCCAGATTCTTGAGAATCATTGCTGAGATCGTTCCTAAGAAATTGGGGTCCCAAGAGACAAACTAGGAACATGTCTGTCTTAGCTATCGTGTAGTTTTTGAATGTATATGGGTCTGGTGTATATATATCCAGTACTCCTGCTATAGAGGAGAACCTGGACAAAAAGCTAAAGAGGGCAGTGAGAACTGCTATTTCAGAATTGTAGAAGCTTCTTACCTCGGTATTTAGAAGCATTTCTCTGTGGGGTTGATAAGAACCAGGAGAAATTTCAGTTCTGGAGTAGACCACCTCTTCTGCTTGAATACATCCCTTACATGTTTGAATGCTTTGTACCAGTCATGGATTTTCAGCCTTTAAATGTTAAGGTGAATAAAATCCCCCTTTTCTGCACAAAAGCGCTCTCTGCTCTTTTTCTTTGCTGCAGCAGTGATGAGCAGCAAAATCTTTAAATACTTAAATAATAAAGTGCAGGCATTTAACTGTGTGAGTAATTAAACAGTGGCACAATTTACTCACTGGTGGTTAATTGTCCTAAAAGTCTGTAACTTGAGAACAGCTATTTTTGTTAAAGATATAGCCTAGTTCATACAGCATAACCTATAATCTGCTTGGTAAGAGATCAGAATAGATGGATCACAGTGTTTCCTTTGAGATTGATAAACTGAGATCAGTCAGTTGCACAGAAGGGAAAGTGTGAGCTTTTTTGCTTGGGATGCTTGTAATTGGACTGAATGAGGCACTATGAAAAGGGAAGTGTTGAATTAGCCCCCGAGGGAGCTGAGTAATATGACCTCATAGGACTTTCCTTTTGTCATGTGCAGCTAGCACAGTCTAAAGTAGTGGCATAATGAGTTACTTTGGCTGTCAGAGAACTGGGGGACCAATGTCTCCAAAGTTATTAATCAACTGAACAGGCATTGTGAGCACTAGCAGGTCATGATTCCAACCTGCCTCAGCTGTGGTGTGGAGGGCTGCAGTTGTCTTTGCCAGTTCAGTTCTTAGCCTCTGCTGAGGCTCAGGATAACAGAGACTAAGGTATAAATTCCCATAGTTTGTGGTCTGCATATGTCTGTCTGTTGAAACTGAGGCCTCGGTGGAATTTTTTTCATATCCATTGGAGATAAAAAAAATATTATTTGGTCATTGTCAGGATGCAACTGGATTGAAACTTGCAATCCTGTTAGAAAATGCCTGGAGAATAGTGTACAGCTCCCGGGAGTAAGGGAAAAGGGAAAAACTAGACTCTTGTATAACTGGAAATAATGACTGGCGGACTTATCTGATACAGCCCAGTAGTAATTTGGCTACACAGACGGAACTGTTCTTGCAGTAAATGAGGGTTTTTAATGAATTGCACGTAACCAGTCAAGGATCCTGCTTTTCAAAGTGTCTGTAGACATTAAAATGCAGAGATGCCTCTGCATTCTGGGTGCCATCCATTCACAAGAACGTGCTGTACATAGTGTTTCATTTAGCAAGTTTATCCAGCCCTTTTAGAGGTGAAGGCTAAACTTGTTTTTCGTTTTCCCCCTTATCCACTTCAAACATCATTAGTCTGAGGAGGCAGTAAATATGTCATCTTGCTTTGGCAGCAATTAGGGGAAACCAAACTGCAAGATTTGCCTATTAGCCCTAGATTAATTCAGTCCAAGTTGTTTTCATCAAATGCTGCAGATTACAGGGGTGGGAATCTGGGTCCAGCCTCGTGGGAGCTGTCCAGTGATTAAAGCAAATCTGTGGTTACAGGATTGGCTGTCCACTAGCACAAAATGTGAATTTCATGGAACATGACGGCACCATGAGCACTTGCCAGACATATTTTTTTCTTTGACCGCTCCACATACTTGTTCGCTTCCCTCCACAGCTGCCCCATAAAGTTGGCTGTACCTGTCTGCTTTCTCCCTGTGGTAAGATGCATCTGTGCGAGTAATCTGGGAGAGGCACCTGGCCCGTTAACTGTGAGGATCTTCAGAAATGGACAAACCTTCTGTTGCGCGTGCAGCATTCTAAGCCAGAGTGTAATTTGGAGCTGCAGCGGGTCGGATAGATGATTTCAGTTAAGAAATGACTGCCACACAAGGGTGTTGGTCAGTTGGTGACACTGTTGGTCAGAGATGATAACAGAGAACAGATTTTCTTGATTATTTTTTTTTTTTCCACAGGGAGAAAAAGAAAGACTCTGTCCCTTTGCTCCCCACCTCCCCTCTTTACATGGAAACACTTGATAACAAGCCTGTGACTCCATGAGGCGTGGTGGTAATATGAGAAAACACTTGGACCACACACACCCTTCACAAGAGCCTGTGGCCTACTTAGGCTTTCACGGTTGCAAAGACTGGAACAGCCTCAAACTTGCCATCAGCCTTTTTCTTCTTCTCCACAGAGTAATGCAGCAGGCTAGTAGAAATGTCTAGAAAGGTTTTCTCTTTCTAGACACTTAGAGCTGGACAGTCCTTTTTCACTTACAGAAACGCTAGGTTTGTGCTAAATGGCAAATTGAGCTGTTGGTGATTTGGAGAACTGCTTGGCTAAAGAAGAGGAAAAAGAGGGATGGAGTCTTGCTCTGGTTTCCTGAAGCCAATCCAGTGCATTTCAGGAGTGGCCGAAAGTCAAGTGCCCTTGGACTGTTTGGCTGGCCTCCATCCAGTTTCCACCAACGCAGCTGGCACCAACTGGTCCCCTGGTTACTGTTCTCATTGGCAAGGCCGTATGTTAGCTGGGTTGAGGACACTTCGCTTCCGTTTTAACCATAGATGGCCTCTCAGGAGCTGCTAGTTGCTCAGCTGTGCTTTTTTTGTTCTTTGGATACAACATCACTCTGTATGGGGGTTGATAAGTCATTTTCTATCAGTGAGAAGTTGCCTAACCTGCTGTGTTTTCAAAGGAGCTGGATCTGAAAATCAGTCTGAACAAGTGGCGATAGAAAGGAAGCCAGATAAGGGAAGAGGGAAATTGTGTGTCATGATGATATTAGTGAGGGTGGGATTGAAGGCAGGGAGGGGGAAGGACAAAAACAAACCACAAAAAAACCCCAAAACACCTCTGCCACACTTGTATGATAGCATCAGTTGGAGTCAGTCATTACCAGAAAGCCATACTGAATTCCAGCAGCTCCCTTTAGAGCTGAGCTGGTGTTGTGCAGTGGGCGTGGATGTATAATTCCTAGATAGCTAGGTTTTCTGAGCATTTTATATCCAGTTGTGATTGTTTGCATTTGCAAGGGCAGTAAATGAAGCTAGGAATGCTCCAGGGAGCTCTTTGTAAAAGAGCAGAGATGGGGGGATGAGAGCAGGTCTGCGAATCTGTGAACAACAGGCAGAGTCAGTGTCACTCAATGTGAAAAGCAACAAGTACTCTTTGTTCTTGCCTGTTGCCCTAGACAGGGGGGTGTGCAGTGCTGACGTACCTGGTTTGAATTCTTGTTCTCTTGGGGTGCTTGCTGGCAGGTCCCTTCCAGCCTGCAGGCACCCTCCGCATGGTCCAGCTTCCTCAACTATGACCATGTTTACAACAGCGGGGGAGAAGTATATTCTCAACCAGCAACAAGTCTATCAACAGATGGGGGGGGAAAAAACAAGCACAGAGTCTCCAGAGGTCTTTTGGCCCAGCTTATGCTGATGTTAGCGTGTCAAGGGGACCTGCCTATATTGGCCTGAGGGGTACATTTGCAGTGGTGCTGTGTGTGGAAATGGAGAGCACGTATCTAAATATGGGGCTGTTGTACTATGTACAGTTAATGGGACACTCGTGCAACAGCTGTTGTTGCTGTGTTTAAAAATTTGTCATCCCAACTCTGTGATACTATCTGATCCTAGAGATCCCTTTAATTTTGTTTTTATTCAGAGTGCTTTACATTTCTAGAGCTCTTTATTGGAAAGGTCAACACCAGCGTAATCTAAATGATTTTTGAATCACAGACAAACCCTCAGCATGCTCTGAGGGCTTCTTTCATCCAACATGGCTGTAACAGCCCCACCTCATATGCACACAGTCAAAGGACTGAAGGCAGCATTTTATCCTGTTAGGTCTTTCTCATCAGCACATGTTCTTTTCTTACAAAAAGCTGCTCCATGCGACATCTTGGACAATTTCCCTGCTCTCCACCCCTCTAGAGAGACATGAGGGAAGTTCCACCATGGGAAACTGGATAAAAGTTTAAGGAGTAGATAGCAGAGAACAATCCTGCTCTGAGGGAAAAAGAGGGGGCCAGAGGTGATCTAACATATCTGTGACCTTTAGGATAGCAGCTGTGGTGGCATTTCAAGTTGTGTAAACACTGTCCATCTGTAGGTCTTGTGTAACTGTGCCTGAGTACCTAGGACACATTATCTTAGCTAGAATCTTGGAGCAAGCAACAGTGAAGTAGCAGGGATTGCAGCTGACATCATGTGTTTACACTAGTGAAGTCAGGGGAAGACTCAGACCATCCGAGTGACCTTACTGAGCTAAGCTGGCAGGCAGAGTGACAGCAAGCAAAAGCCACTTGTTAATCTGCAGCCAAAATGCGTAGGAAGGAATCATTGTTTTGTTTTGCTTTGTTTTGAGTTCTGTACACAGCACAAGGGTCAGTACAACACCTAAGAATCATAGCACTTGAAGTAGCTCTAGCATTGATGATTTTGCCCTTTTCTTGCTCCCTCAGGATGTCTTGCTGCTGAGTCAGTTTATCCGATCTGATGGAGGGATGCTGCCACGAAGGATCACAGGCCTCTGTACAGAGGAGCACAAGAAGATTGCTGTCTGTGTGCAGATGGCTCACCGTGCAGGTACCCAGCTTCCTCCTATGGGTAGCCCTTTACCGTGGCCTACCCATTAAACCCCTTGCGAGCAGTCTCCTGCCCAAGTAAGATGTCATTGTCCAGTCACTCAGCAGACTCATTACGGTCCAAGTGCTGCTACAGGATGATGGACCAGAGACTACTTGTTCCGCTTTCTATATGTCTTGGCTCCTGCCTTGGCAGCAGACATTTATCCCTGTAGATGAGTCTACCGTTGCAGAAAGATCTGGGAAGTGGCTCAGTCTCTAGTAACTAATGATTAAATACCAGCTTCTGAAACTATTTGATTTAGCATAGGCTTGACCTACACCATAAATAACATGCACCTGCCATGTGCCATGTGAAGACCTTTTTTGCTTTACCCTGAGAGAGGGACTCAGGTTGACACAGTCAAAGATCAGTGCAGATCTTTATGCCTGATTCCTGAGTTGTATCCAAGTTAAATGGACTGAGAATTTTAATAGATTTTCATCCTGGAGATGAAATGTGGTTGGACAACGGTGCCCTATGTCCTCTCAAAAAGCCTTTTTGATGAGACCAAGTGGCTGTGTCTTTGGTGTGTATTTCCTCTCCATATCCAGCAGAACCTCTTAGCTTCTCTTTGGCTGGGGTGCAGGTTCAGCAATGACTAAAGATAAAATACCCTTTTCACTGTACTTGAGTTTTTGCTGTGCTCTCCTACTAGGGACCTGGGATGCCTGGCTTATGAGCTGTAATGTAACTTCTGGATGCTATAGCGACAAGGAGACACTGCTAAATACTCTCATGCCTTTCTTTTTCTGTTTCAGGTTTGTTGCCAAACCACAGGCCTCCGCTTCCTGAAGGGCATATTCCCAAGAAACCCAAGCTCAACAGGTGAATAGTCTTGTCTTTCTACATCTCTCTTTTTCAGGAATAGACTGGAAGAGGAAAAGCAGTTCCTTATAACTGGGTAAAACATGCCTCAGGCAACAGGGCTTATAAAGAGTACTCATAGCATTTCGGAGAAGGACAGTCTGTCATGATATTCTCTTGTCAGTCTTTTAAGGACAAGCCAGATCTCATTCAAACCAGTTATCCACACAGGATTAAAACTGCCACGCATGTTAGAGTCTGCCCTCCCTTCCTCAGCTGCACTTGCCTCCTCATCACTAACACTCAGTAGGGCAGTCACAGGAGGATGCCACAGAGATGGAGCAGCATCACAGAGTAGTTGAGGTTGGAAGGCGCCTCTGGAGATCGTCTAGTCCTAGCCCCCTGCTCAAGCAGGTTACCCAAGTTGTCTAGTCAGGTTTTGAGTATCTCCAGGGTTGGACCTTACACAGTTTTGCTGGGCAGCTTGTATCAGAGGACCACCTTCATCACGAGATAGTGTTTTCTTATGTTCAGACAGAATTTCTTGTGTTTTAATTTGTGTCCATTACCTCTTGTCCTGTCACTGGGCACCACTGGGAAGAACCTGGGTCCATCTTCTTTACTCCCTCCCTTCAGGTATTTTTAAACATTGGTAAGATCCCCTGAACCTTCTTTTCTCTAGGCTGAGCAGTCCCTTTTCTCTCTTAGGCTTTTGGTGCCTGGCCCCCAACAGCAGGAGGGTAAGCAGGAGGGTGCCCAGGACAGGTACCAGCAGTGACTTGGGGGCTGAGCAGCCAGCAAAGGCCCATCACAAGCCTGTTCCCCTCCGTCCCATCCCCGTTTCCCCCAGTCAGTGATTAGCCCTCGGCCTGCCCTTCCTGTGCAACAGGGTCTTCCCCCTCCCTGGCCCTAGCGGCCCCTGGCCTTTGGTGGGTGAAGGAAAAGCCTGCGGCCGCCTCCTGCACTGTGCTGGGCGCTCAGAGGTGCTAATCCCCTGTTTATGACCTCACACTCTGTTTCCATGGGGATGTCAGAGCAGTTTATGAACCTCGCATTAGCAAGCCGTGGGGTTACCAGAGGCCATGGGGCTGTTGCTGGGAGAGCTTAGACTGCAGGGCTGAGGTCGGCCGGAGACTCCTGCATTTCAGGTCTGACTCTCTGCAGTGGAGATTTGAGGCAAGCTCTTGGAAATGTCCCTTAGATACTGGCAGGCTGCACGCTGGGTATCAGTGAGGTTCAAATTAGAGGACTCTACATTTGGTGCAGCCATGTAGCCATCAGGTACTTCAACCCTGAAAATTTCTTGCTTCCTGTGTCTTACAAGTCTTTGGGATTCTTTAGTAGTTGTGTCTATCTAGCAGGTGTGGGGTGGAGCACATTACCTCGTTAGCATTCACATAGCAACCCTGCATAGCAGGTTGAGACAGGAAATGGTAAATCCTGTATCTTGCTGGAATCACACCAGGACTCCAGATCTCATGGCTCAACTCTTATAAATTGTTCCATAGAATTTTAGTGAGAACAAAGAATGGATACCTCCAGATATGTTCTACGTGCAAGTAGGTGTGCTACACCTCTAAAATTAAGAGATTTAACCTGGAGATTAGTATCCAAGCCCTCCCTATTGCGTTGCTAGTCCCTCCCTACACCACGCTTGTTTTTATCCTCCCAGCAAGGGAACGTAGCAAGCAGGGAGGAAGCAGAGTTTAGAAAAAGAGAGCAGAACTGTTGCTGAAGAGATGGAAGTGAGTCCAGAGCCAGGATAGAGTGCAGGGGTACTTCAGGAGTGCTCCCTTGGTCCCTCACAATTGTCTTCTCAACCTGCTGGAAGGTGAAGGTTCTGCATGTTGGAGCTTTGCCAAATCTTGACCGTTGAGGTTCTGTGAGAGTTTTGACTGTGCATACCCCCACCTGTGCTTCCCACATTGCTCTCTGGAACCGTAGCTGGCACCACATAAGGAAAAAGATATAAATTGCTTCCTTCCTCTAGCCTGAAGGGTACCCACATGCTAAAGACATTGAACCAGTACTTATTTTGGGAATTAAGCCAGAGCTCTTATCACAAATTTCCCACATAAATCATTAGTCCAAGCTTACTTTGTCTCTGCCTCTGTACTTGTTTCTAAAGCTTTCTGCAAGGCTGTAGTAATTTGGGAAGTACTCAGTCAGTGGTGTTGCCAAATGCAAGTGAGCTGGCAGGAGAGGACGGGGCAGAATTGGGCTGGGACTTTTGAGTGGAACAAGCTGCCTTGTTCAGTGCCATAAGACCATGATCAGGTCATCCTCTAATCCCATCTGGTGTAATGTCAGGGCTGCACACCTAACTTAGCCTGTCCCTTCACTGCATTTGTGTCTGCTGGTTTTTAAGTGTTAGTCCATGAATGGATGAACAGGATGTACAGAGAGCCTATCATAGCAGGCAGTACATTGCACAGTTAAGTGATGTGTTTTCCAAATCCTTGAGCTTCAGCTCTTCTTGAGATCACTGTATTGGCTGCGCTAGCCATCTTCACCTCTCTGCTTAAATGAGAGGTAACAGTGACTTTTTGCACTGCCGCTGTAGCCCTGGGAATGCCGGTGGGGCGAAACTGAGGTGCCCCATAATATGTTTGGGCCCCTTGTTAAAGCTCTTCCAAGACAGGAACACAGGTCATGTACATTCCTGTCGTGGTTTAGGCCAAATCAGCTACTGGGGACCTGGGGGACCCCAGATGGGACTGACAGATGCTCCCCTCTACCCCTCTTCAAAAGAGAGAGGTAGAGGAGGGAAAAAGAGACTTATGAGTTTAGAAGGAACTAAACTACTTTAATGAAATATTAATAATAAAAAGAAATAATGAAATATATACAAAACCATATCAAGCTCCCAAGATGACAATCATGACACTGGCTGGCTCTGGGGAAGTCCCCCAACTGAATTCCGTATCTGCATTCAGGATCGGGATCACAGGCAGACGAACAGAGTCCTCCTCAGACGTCGCCCATTGGAGAAAGAGAGCGAGCTTGACCGTTTGATCCCTCAGCTTTTATGCTGAGCATGAGGCAGATGGGATGGAATACCCTGTTGATCAGTTTTGGGTCACCTCTCCTGTCCGCTTCTCCCTGCAGGTGGGACCCCACTATGCTTTTCCACTTCCGACCCTCCAACGGGGCAAGTAACAAAGTTAGCTGCCTTGGGGGTTATAGCAATAAGTATAAGCAAGAGCCTCTCTGCATACCATGCCTGGGCATCAACTATAAACATTGGTATTATCACTGAGAAAGCAAACATTGTCTGCACAATATGCTGTTAATTACAGTACTTAGAAGAGGCCTAGCTAAGAAGCAAAGTTACTGAACAAAATTGGTTCTGTTTTACCTCAAACCAGGACAATTCCTTAACATCAGTTTAATCAGCCCTTGTGCTCTCCAGCTCTGCCTGCAGTGATGGCTTTTTTGATCCTCCACCCGTGGCTGTACTCTGAGTGTGGTGTTGAAATATGCTCTTCTGCACCCCATCCCCTCCAAAGTAACCCTCCAGCCACACTTCAGGAGCAGACTGAAGTGCCTGTGTTGTAGATGCTGGAGCTATTGAATTGCTGTCAGCTGCTTGAGGGACCTTTTACCCTGATCTATGAAGTAACCAGGGATCCTGGCACAGCAGTTTGCCCATTGCTGTGTCCTAATGCTTGCAAAGAGGAAAGAGGCATCACTTCCTTGGCTCTGCAGCAGTCTGGTCCTCCTTGATCAAAAGAAAGTAAGCATGCAAAACAAGCCAGCAAACAATGACGGAGACAAACTTGCATCAGGGCTGCAAACTGAGATGGATAGTTCTCACAGGTGGACTAGTAGTATCCAGCATACTGGGAGTTTAGTCCATTCCTAGTCACATGTCCTCCGTTCCTGCTGTCTCTCTCCCTCGCTGATCTGCACTTAATCTCTTGCCATGAGGAGCTTGCATTGCATGTGGAAGAAAGCTTTGCATAGAGAAGACACAGTTCCTGCTATACTCTTGTAAAATAGGAAGTTTCAAGATGAAAAGAATAGACAAAGCACCATAGAGGCGTATAGTCTGTCTCAAGACAGTGACAATAAGCTTTGCCCTGCTGAAGGACAGCATTTCTCTCAGTCTTATCTGTACTTTTGCATACTCACCCCTCCTGCCCTGAAATTCCTCTCATTGCCCCCGTATAAGCAGTCTGTTTTCTAACTCTTCACTCTGAATCAAGACATCTTTCACTTGTTTAAAGGAGGGACTTCTGAGAAGTCACTCTGTGCTCCAGATGTTACCCCACATACTTCTATGAGAATTCCTGCCATCTGGGGACAGAAAATCTTACACTGAGCTGAAGAATGTTGTGCTGATGGTAGAGCTCTTGACGTTAGACTACACCATCAGCTGCTACAGTGACAGGACTAAAAAGAAAGCCTAAGATAACCTTAGGGACTGATTCTACTCCCACCACCTGAGATTGAAGGAGATTCATTGTGGGGAGTGTAACTTGAAGTGGGAGTCAGAGCCCAGCACCTCTACCATAATACAGACCCAAGCATTCACTTACTGCATGTAGACTCTGTGGATGTTCTGTAGACTCCAAGCAGCAACCCCTGCCTGGTAGAAGTCTGGCAGATTACTTTGTTTGGATGAGCAATCCCTTTCATTTCTCTCCAGTCTTGCAGAGTTATGGTTGATGCTCCCTTTGGCCAGGCTTCTTCCAAGGTTGTGTCAGTATTTTTGAGAGCAGCTTCATCTGCTGCTAAAAGAGGAAGAAACCAGCATGATGAAAAACTGCTTTGTCTCTGCTCTCTGCCCCTGAGATGGTGTACAGGCCAGCTGCACAGGAGGAGTTCTATTGCACCCGCGCAAAGGTGCTAAGGAAGCACATAGAGAAGGATTGAGGAGCTGTGTTAGTGTGTACTTTTGAGAGCACCAGAAAAGCTGCTCCTCAGCTTTTCCGTGGCTGCACTTGTGGCTATCTTGGCCAGAATGTTTAGCCCATGTCACAGTCACGCTGTTTAAAGTGAGCCTGTTTCAAATACAA